GTATTATCAATATTGTTAAAATAGCAAATAACAAACATTCATGTATTTATATATGTGTATACTTGATTACTTTAGCATATAGATTAAAGTTTGATATTTAATTTTCTAATTGTTCTAAACAATTATATAAATTCAAATATCGAATCTTAATCAATATGCTAAAGTAATCAAATACAATATATAAATATACAAGTGTTCACTAAAAAAAAAAATTATTTGCTATGTTAACTATTTTAAAAATAGCGATAATCAATAATCTGATACATATTTTTATATATATATATATTTATTATTTATAGTAATTTTTATATAATTTAAATACTTATTTTTAAATATTAAAAAAAGAATATTTAACGATATTTAAAATAACAAAAACTAGTACAGTAAATAGTCACTACATATTTAATAGTTATTTTTAGGCTTAATTAAAATTTAAAATAATTAACATTGTATATACTGTATAATTATAATTTATTTTAGATAAATAAATTGTTATTATCGTTAATTAATATAATTATTATAAATCAATATATATTTAGAAAATTTCCACATCTTTTTTGATAATGTTACGTATACCCCGATGATTATTTTAAAATTTTAAACTTTAATAATTAAAGATATCTCAACACCTACCTAATTAAAATCGATGAACTTCTTTTTATTTCAATTGTAAAGATTAAAAGAATTAAAGTTTATTAAATTTGGTTAGGCAGATTCCAAGATATCTTTAGTAAAATTTAAATACCTATTACAGTAACTATATAAAGATTTGTTTTAAATTTTGATCGAAAATATCTTGGCAACAACGTAACAAAAATTGATAAACTTTTTTTTTTAAAAAAACATTTTTATTAATTTTGATCAAGTGGATACCAAGTTATCTTCGATCAAAGTTTAATAACAAATTTTCAGTTATTTAATAATAGCCATTTAAAATTTTATAAAAATTTAATCAAAGATACCTCAGCATCTACCTAACCAAATTAATTAACTTTTTTTTTAAAAAAATTTCTAATCTCTAATTAAAATAAAAAGGTTATCAATTTTAGTTAAGTATCGAGATATTATCTAAAAAAAAAAAAATTATTAAAATTAAATAATTTGTGGAGTGTGGTATTATCAAAAAAAGAGCATGAAAATATCAATTTTCTATATTTATTGCGGATTATTTTATTATTTATAACTGATATAAATTAATTACAACTATTTATAAAAATTACTATAATCCATATATTTAATTTATATATACTAATTTATCATAGTTTAATAAAAAAAATGCTTTTTAAAATTATATATATATATACTTTAATATTTAAATATAAAATTTATATAAGCAATAAAAAAAAATAAACTTATAATACTAAAAATAAATTATTATAAAATTTATTTTTAGAATTATAAATTTTTATTGTTATTTATTTATAATTTTACGAAATTTAAATATTTTAATGCTTAAGTGATTTTTTTAATTTATAAAAATTATGCAATATCATAATAATTATACTATATAATTTTTAAGTTTTACAATTTTTATCTATATACTATATTTTTAATTATAAATATATATGTTATTATAAAATTAAATATATAAATAAGCTATCTAAATAATTTGTATACAAGTTTCAATTATACTTTTAGTATATTATAACCTGTTTATATAAACAATTTAAAACTTTTAACCACAATGGCACAAGAAGATATGTTAATTGATTATGATTATATGGATTTAGGTCATGAAGCAACTTCTAAACTATGGTCACCAACTTATAAACATTTTAAATATAATGAAAAAACAAAAAAATGGAAATATGACTATTGCATGTATATTAATAGACTATATTATTTATTAATTATATTATATATTTTAATTAAAATTATAATATATATTATAAAAAAGTATTTTTAATATTATAAAATTTATTTTTAATTATAGTAAAGCTTATGAAAAAAGAGATACTTCAACTTTTTGGAAACATTTAAGAAGCAAACATCTTGATAAAATTAATAATATACCAGAAGAAATTTCTGAACTTTCTGAAGTAATTAAATTTAAATTTTTTATTAATTTGGTTTTATTTATGACTAATTTTTTTTTTTTAGTTTAGTGAAGAAATATTTAAAAAAAATTATTAAATTGGATAGTTACAGATGATCAAGCATTTATATCACTTGAAAATCCTGCATTTCAAGAAATATTAAAATATTTACGTCCTAATATTAAAATACCATCAGTTGCTATAATTAGGAAAGAATTGGATAAAAACTTTAATAAAACTAAAAAAGAAATTAAACAAGAATTAAAAGTAAAATAATTTTATAGTATTAATTATTAATTATAATAAAATATTAAATATTTAATTTTATTTTGTAGAAAATATCTAAATTATCTTTTACTATTGATACTTGGACTAGTGCAAATTATTTACCATTTTTGGGTATTTCAGCTCATTGGATTAATAATAATTTAAATTTGCAATCAGTTGTTTTAGATTTTTGCTACTTGCCTGGATCACATACAGGAAAAAATTTAACATCAAAATTTTTAGAAGTCTTGTCAGATTTTAATCTTAATTCAAAGGTAATAAATTTTAAATAAAATTTTGAAGTTTAAAAATTTACTAATTTATATTATTTTAGTTATTAGCAATTACTTGTGATAATGCATCTAATATGGATAAAATGCTTTAGTATATTTCAAGCAATAAAAATATTAATTTTAATATAAAAAATCAACATATTAGATGTTTTGCGCATATAATAAATTTAGTAGCAAGAGATTTAATTAAAGAACTTTATATTAAAATTGAATTTGATAATGATAATGATATATTAAAAGATAAAGATATAGAAAAATTAAATAATATTATTTTTAGAGTAAGTTTTTTATTATATTTTATATTTAAAAAAATATTTAACTAAAATTATTTTAAATTTATATTTATTTGAAAATTTAAATTAGCTAAAAAAATTTATAATTAAAATTCAAGCATCTCCATAATGCCAAAAAGAGTTTAAAGAGCAATGTATTAAAGTTGATCTTAAACCATTACAACTTATTTCAGATAATAATACAAGATGAAACTCTACATATTTGATGATTGAAAGAGCTTTACTACTTAAAAAAGTAATAATTTTTATTTTATTAAATAAAAATAATTAATACAAAATAATTAATTGTTATTATTTAGGCTATACAAAATATAATTTTAATTAATGAGGATTTTGAAATTTATAATTTATCAAATAATGAATAGGATTATCTTGAAAAAATTTATAAAATATTACAGGTTTGAAATTTAATAATTAATAATTAATAAATTATTTTAAATAATAATTATTTATAAGATTATATAATAAATATAAAATTATTTTTTTAGTATTTTAAAGATGCTACTGATTATGCTGAAGGTTAATTATATCCTACAATATCATTAAGTATACCAATTTATCATTATTTATTAGATAAATTAAATGATACAATTAAAAATAATACAGAACAAATTATTAAAAATACTGCAAATGCTGCAAAAAATAAAATTCTTAAATATTATTTATTTACAGATAAAGATTTATATAAAATTTCTATAAGTAAGTTTAATTTAATTATTAATATTTATTAAATAATTTTTTATATTAATATTTATTAATTTATTAGTATTAGATCCTAGATTAAAATTAGAATATTTTAAAAATAATAATTTTAATTCTACATATATTACTGAAGCAAAAAAACTTATTTTTAAAATTTGGAATCAAGAGTATAAAGAAAAATATCCAAATATGCTTCAGCAAAAAAGAAATGATAGTAATAATAAGCATGATAATATATTTTTACATGTTTTTAAACAAAGAAAAGTTGATTATACTAATAAACTAGAAGACTATCTTTCTGCTTCTATTAAAAATAAAAATATAGATATTCTTTTATGGTGGAAGGTATAATTTATTTAATAATTAATTTATAAATATATTATATTATATTATATTATAATAATTATATTAAATTAATATTAATATTTATTTATAGTTACAAGTAATAACATATCCAAATTTAACAAGAATGGCTCAAAATTATTTAGCTATTCTAGGTAATTATATAAAATATTTTAATTAATATATAGAATATATTTAATTAATAATTAATATATTTAATTTTAGCAACAAGTGCACCTATAGAACGAATTTTTTCTAATGCTACAGATTTAATTACACCTAAAAGAAATAATTTAAAAAGTAAAACTATAAATAAACTTATATGTTTAAAAAGTTGGCTGAAATTAAATTCATCTAAATTAGATTAATTATATATTATAGTTTATTTTATTTTATTTATATTATTTTTAGATATTTAGTAAAATTATAAAGTTTAAAAATAAATATATATAGAATTTTATGTTTTTTTTTATCTAAATACTATATTATACTCTATAAAATTTAATATAAAATTAAAGCAATAATTAATTGGAATTTTTTAAAATTTTAAATTGCTTTGCTTTATTTTAATGAAATAATTTATTTGTACCCATAGGGTATAGTGTACCCATGTAACACAATTATCGATCATATGCATCGGAGAATAAATCATAAAAATTGTAGATAAACAAATGACGTAGAGACGAAAATGCATAAATATTGAGAATGAAGGTAACATAGTCTCTCTTTCTTGAAAATAGTGCACTTAAAAATCATAATTAAAGGATACAATACACGTCTTTCCGTTCTGAAACTTTAATCACATATCGTTTTACCGTTTGAAAAGCTGTAGTAGCGTCAGTTACCAATTGATCTCATGCTTTCTCGCTTTTGGCGTAGTGACGGTATTTAGTCTCGTGATTTTTATGTAATTTTTTACAAAGATATATCTAACAAGGAGTTATCCTATTTGAAAACATAATGTATCATTATTTTTGAACTAACGCTTTTTGCTTATGAATTTCTTTTCGAAGAATTAGCCAAACACCTTGAAACTCATTTAATTAAAGCAGAAGTTCATTCTCATTAATTGGTCTCAGATTTTCTCGATTTTGGCATAGTGACGGTATTTAGTCTTGCGATTTTATTTTGAACTTATGCTTATTGCTTATGAATTTCTTTTAGTTGAATTAACCAAATACCTTGAAACTCATTTAATTAAAACAGAAGCTCAATCCCTCGTGATTTTCTCACCTTTGGCATAGTGATGGTATTCGTCTCACGATTTTTTAGTAATTTCAGCCCAAAAATCATAACGCATTCTTTATTTTTTGAACTTACGCCTATTGCTTATGAATTTCCTTTGGTGAATTAACTTGAAACTCATTTAATTAAAATGAAAGCTCATTATCATTAATTGGTCTCGTGGTTTTCTCACGTTTGGCGTAGTGACGGCATTTAATCTTGTGATTTTTTGTAATTTGAGTTACTACTCAAAAATCATAATGCATCATTATTTTTGAACTTATGCTTATTGCTTATAATTTTCTTTTAATGAATTAGCAAACACCTTGAAACTCATTTAATTAAAACGAAAGCTCATTTTCATTAATTGTTCTCGAATTTGGCGTAGTAGCGGTATTTAGTCTTGTGATTTTTCTGTAATTTGAGTTATCCTACTCAAAAATCATAATGCATCATTTATTTTTGAACTTATGCTTATTGATTATGAATTTCTTTTTAATGAATTAGTCAAACACCTTGAAACTCATTTAATTAAACGGAAGCTCATTCTCATTAATTGGTCTCTGATTTTCTCGCTTTTGGCTAGTAACGGTATTTAGTCTCGTGATTTTTTTTTGTCTTGTCTGGTACCTAAAATTAGTTTAATTTCTTTAGAATTATGGTTTTAAAAATGGATTATGGGGACGACTCTGAACATTTCGAAGAGAGGTCATTAAATATTGCAGTTCCGTAAGTAATATATATTTTTTTTGTTTTCGTCTTATGTACTATATTTGTCTTTTTGTTACTAACAACCTTCTTGACAAAGTGATCAGAATTTAGCTGAAGCGTTAGACGCTCCAATAGTTGGACAAATGTTTGGTACTTGAGAAGAATTGGATCGGTTCATTTCTCTCTATGCGAGGTTACAGAATTTTGTTAGTGTTATTCATGGATCAGAGTATGATGATGGCATTTGTCGAAGCCGTAGATATGCATGTGAATACCAGGGCCGTAATATTGTTAAAAACAAAACTAATATTGTTGAAAATCAGCGGCAAACACGAAGCAAGCATACCGGGTGCCGTTGGCAGGTTTGTGCTACCTTTCTCAAGAAAACTGGTACATTAAGTATCAGCTCTGTTTATTTGGTTCATAATGATCATTTAATGGAAAATGGAACCAATAAGTTTGCCTCAAAATATAAAGCATTTTCTGAGGATATGTTAAAGGACATTGAATTCTGGACTGAAACTGGCAATTTAAATATGAGAACTCAATATCAAATGTTAATGAAGAAGTATCCTGACACCTTTTTTTTGCCCCAAGACATTTTGAATACTATACAAAATTTTAAACGGCAAAATCATGTTGAATCTGAGGCAGCTGTTTTACTTAATCAACTTCTTGAACATAAAGCTGAAGATGCTAGATGGATTGTTAATTGGAAGGTTGATTCTAGCAATAATTCTCTTACTTCTCTTTATTGGATGTCACCTGATCAACACGATCTGTATATGCAATACCGAGATGTTATTCAACATGACAACACCTATTCAACAAATCGGTTTAAGATAGCACTAGGATTTTTTGTAGCAGTAGATAATAATAATCGTTCCCGATTAGTAGGGCAAGTTCTTATAAATGATGAAACGGCTGAAAGCTATGAGTGGGTTTTACAAACCCTAGTTACAAATACTGGCGCTGCCCCTTTAACAATCATAACTGATAATGATCTTGCAATGAATGCAGCAATTGCTAATGTCTTACCCAACACCTATCATGTTCATTGTATATACCATATCGGCCAGAACTTAATAAAGAATCTAAAAGGTAAACTTGGTGAAAGATATAATGAGTTTTCCCAAAATTGGTATCAAATGCGTAATGCTCTTTCGTATCAGCAATTCGATCTTTTATGGAATGAACTTTTATTAAAATTTCCTGATGCAGCCTCGTATCTTGATCGTGTTCTTTTTAGTGAAAAAGAATATTGGGCTCTCTGTTATACTTCTAGAATTTTTACTGCTGGCATGCAGTTAACACAGCGAGTTGAAGGTCAAAATGGTATTATAAAAAATTCAGTCAATAGTAGTACATCTTTAATCAACCTTGTGAAATATATTGACGAACAAATTGATCGTGTATCAACGTTCGTTCAATATAAAAATTGGATTCATTCTACTATGGGGCCCACACTTATCCATGCCAGTTCTGAATTTTCACCTGATATTGACAAATGGATTACTGCATACCTAACACCAACTTCGTTATCAATGCAATGGCAAGAGATTGCCTAAGCTATATGATATACATCTCAACGTATTAATAGTTTTCAGGATTTAGAATTGCAACAATCAGATTTGACTGGACAATTTGAGATAACTGAACAAATAGATTCAATTGAAGTTAATACTTTTATTGAAGATTCTGTGAATGCGCCTGCAATTTTAGCTAAAGAACTAATATCATTATCAGAAAGTGAATCTGTTCTTGAAATTTGGGAGGTCACTCGACACAGGCGTAAAGCAAAAAATTACATAATATTGTTCAAAAACAATTCGCACTTGTGCACGAGTCTTGGTTTAGTACAAAATGGCTTTGTTTATAAACACTTTTTACAAGTCATGACTGTGTCTAGTTATGCTGCATTTCACATAATGCTTATACCAAAGCGATGATATAATAACGAAAAGCAACTTGAATCAGAATTGTAAACACGACAACAACCTTTTATTATTGGTTTTAATAATAAAAGTGCAGATGAAAAAAATTCTGAACAATCTTTTCCTCATGCATCTTTTTGTTTACCAGGTGTTTCCTTTAACGATGTTTATAAACAAGTTAACTATTGCAAAACATATGTAATGATTAACGGATTGTCTAAAAAGGCAATTCAAACTGGGATAGATGCTGGCTCTAATACTATACAAGAACTAGAAAATTTTATGAATGGTTTTATTACTAAGTACACACCAAAAAAGAAAGAAACACCGATTTATAAAAAGAACAAGAGGCAACATGAATATGAAAATGAGACTAGCTCAAGTTATAGTTCCAGTGACGAAGAAGGTTTTATTGCGTTCGAAAACCCAATTGTTCACTCGAAAAGAGGCGCTCCAAGAAAAAAGCGATTTAAAGGATTCCATGAATTCGAAAGCAAAAATAAAAAAACTAAAGAACATTCAGAAATACCAAAAGGTAGAAAACCAACTCAATATCAACAATGTCAAAATACTGAACATAATAGAGCTGGTTGTGAAGTATGGCATCAATGGCAAGGTATTCTATATTCATATTAAATAGCAAGCCATGTTTCTTCTTTCATATGATAATAAAAACTTTAAGTGCTAGCTAGAGCTTCAATTGTAGAATTTTAAAGCCTAATTGATTCGATATAAACATAAAGTAATTTATGTATATGCAGAAAAATTGCTATTGATTATGTTTAAAGGGTTATATAGTTTGCCGAAATTTTATCAGAAAACTTTTTTGTTGGTGTGCAAAAGTAATTTCATGTGATTGAGTTATAAGTGATTTTTTTTACATATTACATCCATAGGTAACGCTAGGAATGAAAACAGGTTAATTAGATTATAATAATCCTCATACTTATCAAGATACAGAAAAGTATAATATTGTTATATTTAATATAGCTACACATAAAGCACAGCAGTTTTTATGTAAAGTGATGTAAAGGTTCTGCATTAAAAGTTGTATTTTTGATTGGCATTCTTAGTTGCTTTAAGATTTTAATTTAGTATTTTAAAGCCAGGTGCAGTTAAGATTACTTTTTTGACTCAATTATGGTAAGCGTATTATATAGATAATTTTTCAGTATATAGATCAAGATATTAAACGCACCCGGACCTATTGTTAAAACGATAGTTATTACACAAAATTAGTTTGATTTATCATGTGATATAATTATGGCCAAGTAACAAAAATTATTTATTTAGGCTAGGGTTAGGGTGAGTATCTAAGGTAGTGATGTGCCACATAACATTTATAAGTTCTTAAATATTCCGAAACGATTACGGAATATTCTAAAACTATGGTGTAAAAAAATATACTATATATACCAGATATGTACTGTATGTACTGTACATACAGTATGTCTGTACACTAAAAAAATCTGAGTATCATATAAACGGCACATCACTAG